ATTTGTTGGGTTTTCCCTCTGTAATAATAGTGATAACAGTAACTCTGTAAAGTGTCCTGAGATGACTTTTGTTGTGATTTGGTGCTATACAAATAAAATTTGATTGACATGTTGTCAAACTCTCAGCCCGACTGTAAATACATTTGCACATTGGACTTATTATTTTACACAGTATTGCTATGTAATGGGTGAATGAGGCTCAAATGTAAACAGCCTCATCTCTTCAGTTTTCACTCCTGCATCTCATCCTGATACAGCGAGTTCATCAGTCTATGTGGGAGAAGCGGTGATGAGGGGGCGCTGTAGGCACATTTGCATATATTTGAATATTCATAGATCCTGGAATGCAACTTCAAACAGACTGCAGTTGACTCAGGGTATCAGAGTAGAAATCATAACAAATCTAAAAAGAAAAATCCTCTGCCTCTCTGTTCACATTTCATTATATATGTGTACACACCTGTTCTAAGGAATATAACTAGGAAACAGCTGTCCAACTGTTTCTGAAGTTTTATTGGGGCCACTAAGGCTGCCCCCTAATAGTCAAAAGACCTGTCAGTTGACCAAGACTCTTCTAATCGAGTCTTTGTTTTAAACTTTATTTTTTTGTCAGTGTGCATTATAGTAGAAGGCTGCCCCAGTCAGTATTTTCTTCATCTTCTCATTTAGGTGTGCCAAGCAGAAATTTGCTCAATAGTTCCCCCTGTAGTCGGGGGTAAAATACCCACATCAATGGTGACACCGTCTGATACATGGATGTACCGATGCATTAAGGTCAGGCCTATTTTGCAAATTGCAGACTGAGGAGAAAAAGACAAAAAAAAACCCATTAGGACAAGGCACAAAGGTGAGATTTGTACTTTATTAGAAGTGTTTTCAAACATTGTGGTCTACTTTTACAAGAGAAAAGACTGTCATGACAATGTGACTGGTTTTGCATAGTCTAATGTTATGTTAAAGCGCAACGCACTTTACCAACTGTTTCTGCAACCCGCATCCATCCGCACAGGACTATGACGCTAACAGAAATGCAGGGAGAAAACATTTCAGTGACAAATTATAAAGCCAGCCCAACCTTATATATTGTCAAGGTTGCAAGAGATTGAGAAGTGAAAAGGTTGGGCCTTTTTGATAATGTACATTTAACTGACTGCTAACTTTGACAAGTAAAAACAGGTAGCCATGATTGTCACATTTGTTTGCCTCTCTAATGTCGTATGCTGTTGCTTTACTGGAAACGTAAGACGGGTTTTAGAATTTAGAAAGTAAGGACTGTGCGCAGCCTGTTTCTGCTTTGAAAAGCTTAAATTCAAGGCGACTATTGCAACTGCAGACCTGAAATGTTTGAATGCAATGTATCTCTTTTAGGGGTCGTGAGGTTTTTGGCCAAACTCCTGTTGCCAAACACCATCTGCTAGTTCAGGAGGCTTAACAGTTGATTACTTTGCTTTTTCAAAAATGTTTCTTTTAGCAGACAAAACTTTTTAAATGGAGGTAGTACAGGACTCTCTATTTCTTCTTTTTCAGTCTTTTGGCAGTCTTTGGTTGATTTACTAGTATGTTTTGGGTCATTGTCATGTTGCATGGTCCAGTTCTGCTTCAGCTTTAATTTTCTAACCGATGGTCTCACATGTTCTTCAAGCACCTTCTGATACACAGTATAATTCATGGTGGATTCTATGATGGTGAGCTGACCAGGTCCTGCTGCAGCAAAGCAGCCCCAAACCATGACACTTCCACCTCCATGCTTCACAGTTGGTATGAGGTTCTTTTCCTGGAATGCTGTGTTTGGTTTACGCCAAACATGTCCTCTGCTCTGGTGTCCAAATAATTCAATTTTGGACTCATCTGTCCAAAGAACATTATTCCAGAAGTCCTGGTCTTTGTCAACATTCTCTCTGGCAAATGTCAGTCTGGCCTTGATGTTTCTCTTAGAGAGCAAAGGTTTCCTCCTTGCACGCCTCCCATGCAAGTTAAACTTGTGCAGTCTCTTTCTGATTGTAGAGGCATGCACTTCTACATCAACAGTAGCCAAAGCCTGCTGTAGGTCTCGAGATGACATTTTAGGGTTTTTGGAGACCTCGTTTAGCATCTTGCGGTCTGCTCTTGGGGTGAACTTGCTGGGGCGACCAGACCTGGGCATGTTGGCAGTTGTTTTGAAAGCCCTCCACTTGTAGACTATCTTCCGGACAGTGGAATGGCTGATTTCAAAATCTTTTGAGATCTTTTTAAATCCCTTACCAGACTCATAGGCTGCTACAATGTTTTTTCTGAAGGCCTCTGACAGCTCTTTCGCTTGCACCATGGTGCTCACTCTCACTTCAACAGTCAGGAGCACACCAAACTAAATGTCTGAGGTTCAGATAGGGCAAGCCTCATTCAAAATGCTGAGTAACAATCTACTAATTATGTGCACCTGGTGTGATATACCTGTGTGTGATTTGAGCCATTTTAAGAGGGCATACATGTGAGGGTGTGCTATCTTTTTCCTCAGTTAGAATAGGCATTTTTGTAGAATTACATTTACAGAAGATCTTGAAAAGACTTTTCTTCAGTTTTACTTGTTTAGTTGTATTACTTTAATCTCTCTGTATTGTTAAAATTGAGATTAAATAACCATATATTCAAACATGTTACAAAATGCACATGCTTTCAAAGGGTGTCCTAATTTTTTCACATGACTGTATATGTTTTGTTTTTTTGTTAAAGAAAAAGAATGAATAGTCACACTGAAGAGTCAACTGACAGTTGACTGACAAAATACTTAGTTAGGTACAGCCCTTGCCACAAGTGTCAGTTGTTATCATTGATTAACCTGCAGACTTACTCTTATCAATTAGTTACTTTGTCAAGAAACTGCTCAAATGCCGATTGTAATTTTCCAGAGCCCAAGATAAAATATTCAAATGTATTTTATCTGATCAACAGTCCACATATAAGGCTATATGACAAAAAAGCATCAAATGCTCACATTTGAGAAGCTGTAACAAGAAAAAGTTTGGCGTTTTCTGCTCGAAAAACTTAAATGATACATTTGTCAACACATGAATTAATATGGCATGAGTGATGATTCCTCACATGGCTGCATTCACACTTGGTTCTCTACAGCTTTCCACCTGTGGGGTGATCACCAAATACAAACTTTAGTGTCATCTGTGAACAGACACTTCAAGCTGTGGCTAGCTAATAACACACAGTCTGCATCCGACCAACTCAGCAACTTGGTTACAGCTCAACAAGCTCTTAATTACAGCCACACAGAGCCGCCAAACATTTCAGCAGCTCAGGCAGAAAATGCGATTAATTAAGTGGATGTGAGGAATGTGTCTATTCTAGGGATGAGAGAAGGTGTGTTGTTCTTGGGTGAGAGTGTGTGGCTGTCAACAGCAAGCTCGGGCGCTGGAAGGATTCGCAGAACCCAGAAGCATTAGGTTTTATTGCTGTATTTTGTTCACAGTATTTGTGCCTCACAAGTATTCTGTCTCAATTTAGGCAGCATTTTCAAGCCTGACAGGGTCAGTATAGGAAAGATAAATAGGTTGATTTGTGGAAAATAAACCCCATCTCACTTTATTTCAGCAATGTTCTGGCTTGTCTGTCAAATCCAGTTCTGCAGGACACAGACAAGAGAAAAAACATCTTCTAGTCATTAACGGAAACAGCTAGCGAGCTGGAACGCATTTCATTGTTTTGCAGAGACACAGGACTGTTAGCTGGGCCTGAGTGTCAAACTGTCTGTAAGAACACAGTATGAGTCAGACAACACAACACTAAAGCCCTATGACTCAATATTTCCTGGTTGATTGCTCAGTCCAATTGAATTACAGAGCACTTTTCATTTTTGTGAACCCAACTGTAAATGTATAGATGTATTTTCTTTAAAAAAAAGTTGCCTGTGGCACTGTTTGGCAGTTCATATTACCTTACATGACTGATGAATGGTATAATATCCCTACATTATGAAGGAGTGTTGAGAGATGAGGAGGTGAAGATGAATGGAGGAACAGGAAGAGAGCCGGTTGCATGTGCTGACCAGTCTGACTGAACACATATACAAGGAGAGAAAACACAGAATCCCCCTCTGCAGTCTTTGTTCTCACCATCCGTCTTTGTGCATTTGTGGGTGTGTGACTCAAAAGAAACAATGCTGTCCCACAGACCCAGAGCACTAGAGTAATGGAAGGAGTGAAAGGGTTGTTTGAAACAAGGAGGGCTAGGTGGTATTCAGGCCTGTGTAGCTATTTTCTTCAAACAGTGTGTGTGGGAAGACCCACTGGGGTCTTTCACCCACACATTACAATACACCACACCAGCCGGACTAAGGCAATGTGGACAGCTGAGGAGGGAGCTGTGTGTGTGGTGGTGGGGGGGGCTGAACATAAAAACTTCAGACTGGGGGGGGGGAAGAGATGCGAAGAGCTGCAGAGAGGGCATTGTAAGAGAGATGTGGGCTCACTTGCCACTGGTCTAACAATATGAATGTAACTGGAGCCACTTCTCAGCAATGAACATCAGTTCATCTCATGACCTTCATAAAAGGAAATGTTACAACTAAGAGCAGGTCAATACAGAAAAATGCTTTCGAATGAGTAGAGGTCTGCTAAAAGAAATAAATGTTACTTTTATAAGTCATGGCAACAATGTTAGCTTGGTGCAAATCTGAAAGCCCTGCAGCACAACTAGCCACATACTCCAAACAGAAATCTGTGACTTCCTTTTTATCAGTTAAGTTGTTAAACTTGCAAATCCGCTAAGATGGTTGCCAAACAAACATCAAAAGAGAACAACAACAAAAACACATAGCAATAGAAATGTGGTGTTCTAGTCAACTCACGTTATGAATAATCATATTAGACTTGGATCATTAAAGTTCAATTCGCCAATATTGTGCTAACGTGCTCAGGACCTTTACTTGAATGTATTACTTTAAGTTAGCACCATTCGCGTTGTTTTTATCGTCATATCGAGAGAGAAACCTTACAAAAACTGTATTTACTTACCCAGAATATAATGTTGAATCCAAATAAGGAATATTTAACACAGCAGCTGACCTCGGCTCCTTTAATGTGATGGTGTTTTCTACTCATTCTTCCAAAGATAGTGGTGGCTAAGTGGCAAGCTAGGCAACTAACTACCAACGCTAACGTTACCGCTGGAACTTCGTAAGCTTGGCCAAAGCTGCAGTTTTCAAGCCACTGAAGCCACGGTTAGTTGGCTCCATTAGCTAACTAAACAAACTCGGGTTTACTCGCCGGACAGTATTAAGAAGCTCAAACACATGCATATAATTATTGTTCCTCGCTTTACCCATTAGCTTGCTAGGCTAGCTAGCTCGCAACTTCTATGGATAGCATTAGCAGCCAACAACAACAAATCCCGGGACACTTGGCGTTAAGGCACAAACATTCATCTGCAGTTCAGTCGATATTCAAGTTGTCTGACGTTCATTTCGTAGCGCATACCGAGACATCGAGAATAAAGCCCGTGGACTTTCTGCTAAACGTCCCCTGAGTTATCTCAGTTGCGGCGCCGTCGCTTTTAAAATCTTCATCCTTGTTTTAGAGCTCTGTAACAAGCCCGTACTGTCATTGATGATAGCACTGCGCTGGCTTTCGCCCTTTTCACCTCAGGAGCGGCCTCTTGTGTTTCCGTGAAGGTTTTCACTTTTCTGGCCCGACCATATTACGAGGAATGGCTTGATAATCATAACGTTAATTCACCCCCTATAACTTGAGCATTAATAGAGTGAAGTCCAAGGATATTTCAGGTCCAACAGGGACTGCCAAGGTTCACAATCTAATTTATGCAAAACTGAGAAAAATGGTTAAAATAGTGGCTATTTTAATTACATGGCTCACAGACCACACTGTTAATCTGCCCATCCACAGCAAACTAGTTACACTACCAGTCAAACGTTTAGGCACACTTTCCCACTGAATCGAATAGGAAAGTGTGTTTAAAGTTTGGACTGGTAATGTGACAATTTAATAAAGCCTCATCTTTATCCTATGGTTAAATTTATATTTAGCAACACAAAATAACACACAAATAAAATGAGAAGAGTTGTGGAAGACAGCTTCCTAAACCTGCTGTAGTTTACAGCTGTTGCCTGTACACCACCTAATCCACACCTTTCTCAGATTTAATGCAGTTATCGTTAATTGCTGTTTATTAATTGCACCTGTGCTTATCCTGCTATGACTTGTTAACTGTCTGCAGTGAAAACGATCTATACTGACATTCATTATGCTAATAAACAGTGGCTATGGTACTAAAGTGAAATTATGGGGGGTGCTTGCTAGAGAATTGCCCCTTCTTAATAATAGGATCAACTTTTTTTTAAAGTAGACACCATAACAAAAAAATATATTAAATGTTTATTTTGAGAAATAGTTGCAAGTACGGAATCGGGTCAAATTGTGTTTCTTCATTTGAACTTCTGTCTGGAGTCCTACAGATGGCAGTCTATGAACCTGTGATAAATGTGGCTTTGATTTTCATAGTTTACCCTCGGGAGCTGTCTTGGGCATTTCAGTCTAATCACCATACATATGTAGCATGTTGCACTGACAGTAAAACTAAAGAAATGTCTACAAACGTGGTGGTTGAGCCTTTGGCCAATAAACAATTTGTCATCATTGTCATGTAAGCATATTCAGCATTTGGAGGGGACTGTCTCTAAACCATAATTATTTTAGTCATTTATTTATTATAACTGAAATTTACGTTTATAGTTGTTATTATTATGACTTATGTCTGAATGTTCAACAACTCATTGTAACCATTAAACTGCTTCAGTATATACTAACTTGTCAGACAAGAGTCTCAAGGGGTTGTGTAGGACCAAATGAAATATGAATCCTTGTTTACATGGCACAGCACAGGACTGGTCCTAAATTTGTTATATAGTATACCTTATATCCTTTAAGTGTCAATATGGGCAATTAGCCAAAATACTTATTTTACACTAAATTGATGTATAAATGTGTTGAAAATGACTAGGGTGTTATGAAGGAAAATAATAAACTGACAAACTATAAATAATTTCAATCGGTGTGTCATCACTTTTTAATTTGCATTAATTTTCAAACATCACACAGTTATAAAATGTAACATGAGTTGTAGTGATAAAATGAAGGAATGTGAGCATAAAACAAAAAAAAATAATAAAAAAAAAAACATGCTTGAAAACTCAAAAAATGTGATGATTCTTGTGTGTGCTTGGATGTCAGCAATGTTTGGTTTATCCAAGTTGAAACCAATCCATGACAGTGATAGGCTGAATCTTACTGAAGGAGCCAGGTCACCATGGAGCAGGTGTCCCTGTCACTCAACAGACACAGAAGTAAATATTAAGAAATGTGCTGATGTGTTTGGCCTGCATGTCAGGGAATGAAGGAATGATCTGTTATGTGTGCTGGTGCAGGATTGGGCAAGATGTGAATGGTGTAAAATGACTTTCAAAGACCCAGTATTTGGAACGAAAAGCTAGATGTGGCTCGAAGGCAACAGTTTGGTTTATAGGTAATAACCACCATCATTTCAACTTGTTGCATTGTGCAGGAATGTTCCCATTTTTAAAGTAGGATATTAATTTGTTGGTATTATTGTGAATGACACCTGTGTGAGCAAACAATGCCAACATGGCTACTGAAACATAATGAGCATAAGTGCAACTCAAGTATAAAAAGAAACTTTTTAAAGATATGAACATTTTACATGTGTTTAGAATACACATCTATCCTTTGATCCTTTTCTTATAAACGCATTAATATTTCATGACATAACATTCTTCTATCCTTTTTTGGATACTGTCTTTTTTAATAACATCCTGTCACACCTTCTTTAGTTGCTTGACGTATACTTTGGCCTCTAAACCTCATCCAAACAGACATTTTGTACATGAAGTACAGGCACAAAATAGAGACACCAACTGTCAGTCATCAATATGCTATTAATTTTAAGCATTTTAACAGCTAACATTAAATTGTCCATCATCACTGTTTGAACATTAGCAAAAAAAAAACTGAATTTTTTTCTCCCATCAACATGGAAACAGATGTGTCTATGCTTCATCTAACCTCCACTCTTCATACTCAGTCCCCCTTGTCAGTCTGTCAGTAAACCATCTATTCACTTCAGCAAATGCAGTTCAGGCAGCAACATATATACACTATGTTAAACTGATTATTGCACTGTGATAATTATGCATATGATCTATTTTCCATTGATTAAAATGGATAATTAACTGCAGTAAATACCTTGACCATGAATACCATATGTCCTATCTACCATTGTGTTTTTTTCTAAAACGGTCATATAAACTCCCTTCACCCAGTCTAAATCAATATGAATTCACTATATAATTAAATGTGATCTTTTACTTGAGAGTGTTAATCAGCGGACTGTACAGTCCAACAAGATATTTTTTTGCACATTACTTATTCTGTGTCCCTTATGCACCATTCCCTTTTTAGCATAAGACCAATAAACAAAATCACTAATATCCATTAATAACATTTAAAATTGAAACCCTTTTACTTAAATACTGTTTAATCAGAATGGTGGCTGTGAGGGTCTGTTTAATGTAAAGGTGTAAAAGATAGAACAATCATCTTAAGCAAACTTATATCTTTGGTTACTTTGAGTTTGTGCACTTTCTGGTATATGTAAGAAGCATGCAAACCACAGAACTTAAAAAGCTTGTTCTTGTCCATCCGTACTGTGAATGTGAGTCCTCTAATATAATAATACTACCTTAATACAACATTTACCATTGTCCCAGATCATCAATCAAAGTAGCAGAAAGTTAATTTGTTTAATCTCTGTTACATGAAACTTGATCAGAAATTCTTTTACAGGTTGCTACAATGCCACAGAACTCAACATACTTTAATTTACTTCCACTAGCAGCCTCACAGGTCAGTGGAAATGGTGCTTCTCTTCACCCTCAGGCTGCCGCCCCAGCCACGAGGACAGGTGTTGTAAGAGTACAGGCCAGGCGATCGGAGGCCGGAGTCTTCCGACTCAACAGAAGCATCAGAGTCAGTGAGGGAGCGAGTATTGTAGGACCTCACAGGGGAGCAGAACCTTTGAGTTGGGGTGGAAGGAGGGCTGGTAAAAATAGGGGACTGGGCCCCAAGTCCCCTAGACTGAAAAGGGCTAATGGGTGGTTTGTGACAATCGTAGGCATGGGGGGAATTTCCCAGAGGTGAGATGGGGAGGCTGTGACCACTCAGCGCACCAGGGGAGGGGCTGTTTTTACGTTTGGCTGCATTGATGATGTTCTTTGCAAGGAGGCGATGGCTGGCCTTAGAGTCTAGGTTATTAACAGTGGGTGATATGCAGCAACTGTCTTTGACTGGGGAAATAGGAGATGTGGTAGAGGATGTGTACCGAGGTTTAGTTCCAGAAAAAGATAATCCAGTGTGAGGGGGTACAGGAGACTGGCAACGTGAGCCCCAAGGCGGAGAGACTAGAGATGTTGCTGAAGATGTTTGAGAGGGTCTGGATGTAGAATTGGAAACACTGGACAACTGGGTATTGTGGCTTACTAATGGTGACTGGCTTCTTGATCCCCAAGAAGGAGACCTGGCTGTATAACTTTGGGAAGGTTTGGGACCAGGAACAGAGGAAATTGTGGAAGACTGCGTATTTTGGCTCGCTACTGGAGACTGGCATCTTGATCCCCAAGGAGGAGAAAAGGGAGAAGGAATTGTAGGA